GGGATGCCATTTCACACTCAACTGCCTTGCGCAGATTACAGTCTGACAATTTCATAGATTGGTGAGACTGTGGAGCAATGAGCATTCTCATACTTGGGTGGAACAAGTAAATTTGGAGGGATAACTCTGGGAATGAATTTGGTATTACCCAATAATATTAACTGTGTGCAATCCTGTGAGCTAACAGTTCTACTGCTAGTTATGTAGCCTGTGTGCTCAGGAGACTTGGCACAGAATTACTTCAAACAGCCATGGTTTGAACAGCAAAAACACTAAAGTATCCATGCAAATAAACACACAAAATATCCATGCAAAGTAAAATGGATAAATGGTATATTAATTCAATGGAATGCTACATAGTATGCACCTGGAAATGAGTGAATGACAGCTACACAAATCAATACGTGTAAATCTGAAACATGTCACATTGAGCAAAACATGTGGCTCACAGGACCTCACACAGTATGGCTTCCATTCTGATAAAGGGATGATTACACAGGCAGCAATGTAGAAAATACAATGAAAAGGAAAGGAATGGCTCAGCACCTGTGGCTAAGCGGCTAAGGCGCCAGCCAAATACACCTAAGGTGGCGGGTTCGAATCCCCAGCCCGGGCCCGCCAAACAACAATGATGGCTGCAACCAAAAGATGGCCGGGTGTTGTGGCGGGTGCCTGTAGTCCCAGCTGCTTGGGAGGCTGAGGCAGGAGACTCGCTTGAGCCCAGGAGTTGGAGGTTGCTGTGAGCTATGATGCCATGGCACTCTACCCAGGGAGATAGCTTGAGGCTCCGTCTCAAAAAAAAAAAGAAAGAAAAGGAAAGGAAGGAATCACTCAGTATTTAAGGCAGTGATTACCTCTCTGGGAAGGAAGATGGACTCAGGAAAGGATCAAAGGAAATTTCAGTTATTGTCACCTTCTATTTCTAAGACTAGAAGGAACAAACATTCTTTCTCCTTTAAAATGATAGCTGCATGACATATGGATGATGTCTGATGAATTTTATGACTAGTACATAAAAAATCTACATGCTCAATCACTACCTTTAGGTTTTTAACAACACTTGGTTAAATGTTCTTCAATATCAAATGAAATCTTGAAACATAGGCATTCTATAGTGGAAGAGAAAGTTCAATGAAGTCCTAGGAATTAGTTGATAGAGGTATTCATTTCAAAGTACCTTGAATAAAGCTGGCTTCCTGCCAATTAAATGCTATTTTCTTAATAATAATTAAGCTAGCTCTTTATAATGTTTCGTATATTTTCTAAACCATGATGATGATATAATACTGGAAAATCTCAACAGAAGAGACATGTAAGACAGATACTGGTATTGACTAAAGTATAGAAAGAAAATTGATAGAAACCATGTGACTCCCTAGAAACCTAGAACTTTGTAAGATCATATACTTGAATTCATGTAGGTTAATTTCAGAGTTCTCCTGAAATGATTGAATAAGCAAAAATCAGCATTAGGGAAAGATGTAGAAACCTGGAGGATCTTATAACTCTGCGATTTGTTTTCACATTGCCGTATGAGCTATCAACATGTAGGGGTGGGTTTGGACTAAGAAGAAAGAAAGAAATATGGTATGTCCTTCAGACTGTGATTCTACAAACAGCTCTGACGTTGCCCTTCTGAGTTCTTCACTGACCTCCCTTTCACCAGCCGCCATGTGGAGAATGAGACTTTGTATTTTTACATTTCTTCCTTGTGTATTCTGAACTCTCTGCAAAGCTAGAGACTACAGAGAAATGGGGGGGGGGGCATGTTCTAGGAGATGGGGAGTTCATGATGGGACGGTTAGGGATAGGCGTGTACAGTTACTAGGCATTATAGGCAGAGAACCATTCTGTTTTCTTGTAACAGGGCTGCCAAGCAAAATTTTGAGAGTTTTTTTTCCATCTTTGATTTTCACACGATTTTCTGGCTCTCTATCTAAAGCCCTCAATTTTAATGCCAAATATACAAACACAACAGGGATGTGACAGTGGGATGAGGGTGGAGGTTGCTGTGTCTTATTGTTGTTGTAGGAAGTAGAATCTCTTATCAAAATTTCCATTGTGCAAATATATAAAACACACACACACAAAGTAACCCAGAAATAATCCTGGTAAAAATTCGTACCTATTTCTGATATTGTATAAGTGTCTTATAACATTGGTCTCAAATGATTTTCTGACATGTGCTAAAGTCCACCAGAAATAGAAGTTTCATTCCATTGTTCCTCCCAGTTGCCTCAGAATTTTAAAGGAAAGAACATTAAAAGAATGTTCTAAACATAATACTAAACATATTAAATGATAATTTGTTTGATTTCTCATGTTTTTCGGTTTATGAAGTTTGTAAACATTGTTGTCTAGAGATGCATTATTGGAGATGTTTTGGGAGATAACAGAGGTGTACTTTGCCACCAAAAGGACGTGGGAAAGCAATGTTACTTTGTCATTATTCACACTGGTTAAAGGATACATCCCTTTGTTAAAAATAGGCAGAAGAATTATTTTAGAAACAGTGGTTGGATCCAACCAGGAAGTCTCACTCTTTTATTTGAACTCTTGTGAATAAAAAAAAAAAGAAAGAAAAGAAAATTGAAACCATTGAGTCTGTTATATACTATAGAACCTCTGCAAATTGACCACCCAAGAGAATAACTGGTGGAACATAATGGAGATGGTCGACATAAGGAACTGGGCCTACTGTATGGATACATATGTGGAGTGGAAGTCTGGTCTATGAACATTCAGTCACCTTAAGAAGGAGGCTGATGGAGTGGAGGTTCTATTGTATATTCACCCCAGTTTAATAGATTCTGGTTTAACTATTGAATTAATTAGTCATTGATACACCAAATATTTCACATTTAATTTTTTTCTTGACACTTTTGCAGCAAGTTGGTGGAGCAGTTGAAGGAAAGTTCTGCTCCCAAAGAACTGTAATAAATATCATGGAATTGTTTTAACCCAGTGTTATTGAGAGTAATAGGATATAGGGAAGATGGGTAAGAGGCAAGTGGTACTTAGGACCAAGGCCACTGCACATGGTGTGAGTGACAATCTAACACAAGTGCACACACCACAACTTCTTCCCCAAAGGCAGCATCTAGTTGTAAAGACCACTCATCTGGAATTTAACTTAAGCACTTTTTTAAGCTTGCGACTCACAAAAGACTTCATTTGGATTATGGTTTATTTTGATCAATTGTTATTCAGTCTATTGATGGCATGTATTTTGTGTTCTTTCTTTTTTCTTACTATGCGATCTCACAACTGGTAATGAAGATTGTTGCGTCCACTGTATCCTGGCGTGCTTGTTCTGTGAATTCCTGACCCTCTGCAATATTGTCCTGGGACAAGCTTCATGTGGCATCTGCACCTCGGAAGCCTGCTGCTGTTGCTGTGGGGATGAAATGGGGGAGGACTGTAACTGCCCTTGTGACATGGACTGTGGCATCATGGATGCCTGTTGTGAATCATCAGACTGCTTGGAAATCTGTATGGAATGCTGTGGAATCTGTTTTCCTTCATAAATATTTATCTTTTATGTTAAAACTGGAGAGTGTCTTAAATGTTTCCTTTTAAGGGAGAAGAAAAGCACATGGTAAGTTTCTCATAAAGCAATGCAGTATTTGCACTGTTAACTGGTTATGTTTTTTTCTCCGTGGTAGGTAGTAGAGCTTTTTTTCTTTTTTTTAAATTTCAGAATATTACGTACAAAAGTTTTGGTTACAAGAATTGCCTTTGTACAGTTTGAGTCAAAGTTGTAAGTGTGCCCCTCACCCAGACAGTGTATATTGTACCTGTTTGGTGTGAATAGACACGCCCCACCCGCCTCTTCCCACCTGCCTGCTTTCCACTGAGTTTTACTACCAGATGTGCACATGGCTGTTGATCCTACCAAGACAGGGGTTCTCAATCTGTGGGTCGCGACCCCTTTGTAACAATGAAAATACATCGTGGCGCTAGGAAGGTTGAGAACCACTGCACTAAGACATTTAAAAAGCTAAAGAAATTAAATTTTACCTATTAAACCATGTAGATTTGGTGAAAGAAAATAGGGTTTCAGGATTACCTAAATAACAATTACCTGAGTGATTAACTTGTTACTGCTTAGCTCCTTGTTAAGTGAGCTCTAACAGCCTATTTTCTTTCGCCCAATCTACATGGTTTAATATGTGAAATTTTAACTACTTTAGCTTTTTAAACTTCTTCATAGGTTATAATAACTTAGGGACATTTTGACCCCACCCTCTCATTAAAAGTCTCCTTTACTGATTCTGTTTCTTCTAATCATTTTTAGGAGCCCCTGGCTTCAAATATATTATTTCTCATTGGCTATTTAAACGAGACAGTTTATTTTTGAATGTATGTCTATTGATGGTTAAAAGTGAGTATTCTTTATAGTACACTTTGGGAAACATCCCCGCACAGTATTTGGGCCACCAGAGTTGATCTCTCGAATTCTAGTAAACAACTGTCTCCCTTTTCCTCCTGTAAGAAACTTCTTCATTTGTTACATCAACGATAAGGAGATCTTTGTACTATTTCACGGTAATCAGGATCTAAATATTTGCATATACCCCCAAGTAACTAATGCTTATATATTAGAATGTAAGAATATCGTCTGTTTATGAACACATCAAGCCTCCTAATGACATAGAACTGTTAAAATATTTGACTTTTTTATCCTAAGTTTCTCAATGAAGTGGTTTGTCTTAATATTTAAGTATATTCTTCAACTATTTGTGATGAAAATATTAGCACATTTGAAACAATTTCTCCATAACAGAGAACATTACTTGATAACCAGGAGTTTGTTTTCGTATTTATATTCATAGTATTTTTCCTCTATTGTCTACTCCAGGTTGTCGCCATAAAGCATCTTGTATAGTTTTAAAAAGAAAAGGAAAAGAAAAAGTAAGCAAATGTGAAAAAGAGTTTCAATATGTTGTAGGATTTCTGTATGTAAAATGTTGTGTTGAATTATATGGCCATAATGACTAAATGCTATAATTTACAGTTATAGATTTAGTCTCTTTTTAAATGTGGAAAGTTAATCTTAAATATTTCTAAACTGGACCTGTATTATCCTGAATATGTTATTGTGAAATTAAAACCATACTTCTGTATCTTTATTGTGCTTTAGTATGCTTTAATATCTAATTGATAAATTTATTTGCATTTGAGTATATTTAACACTAATTTAATAATTTCTTTGTCTTCCCTGCTATATTTTTTTCTGAAGATTTCCTGGTCTCCGTATGTAAAGCTCATGACTCATGCCCATAAATGGACAGTGAAATATATGGATCAGTTTATGGTGCAAATCATAGTTGACATGTGGCTTAAAAGCATAATGCTCTTTAAAAATTTTACAGTGTATCAAAATAGAAACTTTAAATATTTTTTATCAGATTGATTTCATTTATTTAATTTTTTGGAATTATAGTTCAGTTTATAAAAATTAAGGTTTTTTTTATATGGGCTGAGATTGAACACCAAGATAAAAATGCTCAAAGATCTTTGAAATTGGATATTAGATTTAATGAATTTCACACCAAAGTAAATTGTTAAAACTATTTCCATGGAGGGATTTTAGTGGCACCGGTTTTGTAAATGTTTTTCATTTACTATTTAACTGAAATAATACCATATGACTTTATTTAGGAAAAGGCTTTTTATTTAGAGAAGTAATTTTATTTTTGTATTCTAACGATGCATTAAATGCATCCATTTTCCACACCTGAATAGTCAGTTTATCTGAGCAGTTCAAGGAGTAACCAAGGCAACCTTATGTAATAACTTTCCATTCTTATTCTTACAAACTCTATCAGTGCCCTAGATTCCATTTCTTAAACGTCAAACGTCACTGCCTAACATAAATAAGACTCAAGCCTGGAGACTCTGTGCCTTGGCTTCTTGACTACTAGTTAAATGCTTAGATACACTCAACTACCTAATGAATAAGTTTATTTATTAATAAGATTATTTTTCAAATTATTCAAGACCTTTATGCCCCTTCCAATTACTTGTGATTTGTAGGCCTGTAGGATTGCTGCATCTAATCTGACAGGCACGATAACATTTCATCAAATACTATAATACTCATTTTTCTTTTCCTTTTACACTAATGCAAGATAGCATATCATTTTTGTTTTAAACAATGGTTAATATATTGAATAGGGTTTATTCCACACTTAACTCTTTGTGTTTTCAATCAAAGATTGGGTATGGTATTAGAGCCCTTTAGCCCTCATCTTCCTGTGCCTCTGTAGCCAGTAAATTTACAGTGAGTGTTTTCTTTGTGCTTGGACTGGCACTAGGAACCTCAAGGAAGTCACATAAACCTCAGCATGTGTCCACCCAAAAGCAACGTTTGACGTCTCTCATGAGAAAACAGTTCCAACAGTGAGGCTACTAATATTTACTTACCTATTAAAGATTACTTTTAGTGGTTTTGGTAGAAGTGGAAGTTGTGGACAGGGGATAACATTGTGTTGCAGCCCTAACAGGAAGGGTAAGTTTTGCAAAAGACTGTCATTGGTAATTACGCCCACTACATATTTTTACACTGCAGAATTTTCAATGATCAGTGACTTCTCCCTTTTTAAAGGGCTGTGGCTCAAAACAGTATATGTATGATCGAATATTAATGAGGTTGGTAGGAAATCTGGAAGGGAAAGGTTTGTAAACAAAGTCACAGCCACACTTCCCCTTTAAAGCAGGGTCTCTGGGCAAACAGAACGTGCGTCCCCACTTTCTTTCTCAGACTAAGACGATCGCATGACATTTTCCCACTAGCCCCCTAATGATTGCCCCTAAGCAGCTGGATATTAACATATGTAGTTCCCTGCCTTTGGATTGAACAGTGGCCACTAGTTCCAATTCCCTTGTTTATTGGTGTGTCCCTTATTTATGCCCTCGGTCTCTTACCACATTCCATTTAGTTCTAAGATAGAGAATCATTCATTTAGCTGTGAGATAACTGTGAAGAGATCATTTTAGAGAACCATCCTTTGACACATGACCAACGGAGGCATAGATCTATGTGCTAAAGACAAAGTACAGCTCTGAAATTAGAGGTTCACTTCCTGGGAGGTCTTTGTGTAAGGTTTACTCGAGAGTGTAATTATTAGGACAATGGTGAAAAGCAAATTCAAACAAATTCTAAGTTTAGCTTGAAAAATTGAAAAGGTTCTTAAGTTCTGTCTGGTGCATAAAGGGGTAGAAGCAAAGGAATTATGTTCCAAAGCCAAGAAAGAGGGTGTACAAAAGCAACTGATCCACTTGACATAGTTCATAGCCTTTTGCAAAGGAATAAAAGCCTGTTGAGCAGGGAACCAAAAGATCTCATTATAGGATGAAGCCAAGCCATATTAAAGCTTGTGCACTAGTAACTATGTCTAAAAACAGCCTGCTGTTTTATATTGAACCAATACATTTCTTAACTTGGTAGGTCGCAGTGTAAAGAGGTACAGAGCCTGTCTGCTGGATGCTATGCCAATTACAGATGTGGTGGAGTGGTGTCAGGCCCCTACAAACAGTTCGGATCGCAAGCAATCTTAGAGTGAAACAAAAGAAATTTTAAAATGTCATCTCAAGACCTGGAAAGCACAGTTCATCATGTGTGTTTGACGATTAGAGACTTGAAATCACTTTTATTTTGTGGTTTAATATGGACGTCACATGATTCCTCAATCAGAATGCACAATTCTTTCAAGGACATGAATAGCACCTAAGAGATAAGGAGAATATCTTTTAAAAGTAACAACTAGGATGACAGCACATCTCTGATCAGCTCCACAGAAAGTGCGTTTTATTGGTGTTGAGGTGAAGGAAGAACGAAATAGCCATGAATACTTATTATATTAGATTCTGTTAGATCATCAGAAAGAATAATTGGGTATATTTACGCAATTACATTTTAGTAAACTAGTACGCCAGCTTAACTATAATACATATTCGGGTAAAAGTACATTAAATCTCAATCCAAAAGCAATTTAGCAGCTAAGGGCATTATTTTTTTTTATCTAATTATTCACAAATTAATGAATAAAATTAAATTCCAATCACTGAAGAAAATGAAGCAATGGTGGGAATCAGAACTACAGATTAGTTAAAGCAAAGATATGCAATGCATAACAGAATTAAAGCATTTCTTTTATTCAAACTCAGTGCTTAAAAAAGAACAAATCCATCATCTTGAAATTTGACTTGTAGCTTGACATTAAAAATAATATGAGTAGAATTTTCAGTGGGGTAAGCACAAAACTAGTTCAAGTTGTGTCACTCTCAATTACTGTACTCAGGTGGTGTACCCATTAAAATTCCCACTTGTGGGTTCCGCTCACTATGCAAATGGGGTCATTACCTGGAGAATTTAATTGGTTATGACACTGGGAGTAGGACTTTTCCTTTCAAAATAAACCCACTTACACACATTTTCACTAGAAATTTCATTGTTAAGTAGACTTTGGATTGTTTTGCTCTATAAATATTTACTAAAATTAGACTGCCCTTGTTTATTTCTTACAAATACCGCAAAATGGATC